GGGACTCCTGCAGAAGAAGACGATGAGCCCAGCGCCGATGAACCACCTCATAGTAACGAGCCTACAGAGGTTCGTCGCTCTGCGATAGACATACTGCGGTCGTTAGGTTCTCCTCCCGTCGTTGCTGTTGTGGTTTCCTCCGCAGCGGAGGAAACCCAGCTTGCTCTAAACCCACCCCCGTCCGCGCCCTTCGTGCCACCACCATATGTCCCTCTGTCTGCCGTCGCCTCATCCAGCAGAGGCCCGACTCTGCCCGTTAACTGCGTCACCGCCACCATAGTCCGCTACAGCGTGCCCTGCGCGTCCACAATTTCGTCTGCGAAGAAACAACAGACGGGCAAGTACACCCAGTCTCAAATCATGATCGGAGGTAGGCTCCGCCACTCGTCCACGCCGCCATCACCTAGTGCAGTCCCTGCCGTCGTTGAATCGCCACTGCCAAAGTTGAGTAAGAAGGAATTGATAGAGCAGAAATACCTCGTCGCTGAAGCAAAGTACAAAACTTCATGGCTGCCTTTCTTTCCATGGCTAGTGCTGACCAAAACAAAAGACGGCCACCCTTCTCTCAAGTGCAGTGTGTGCATGACGTTTGGCAAGGAGACCACCAAGTACAGCTCTTCGGGCGATGGTGGCCGAGACCTGCAGACACAGACCATGCGCATACACGAACAATCTTCTGCACACAAGGAAGCTGTGGATGCCCAGCTGAAGATTGCCGACGACATCGCCGATGGGCAGAAGACGATGGACGACTATTTGTCGTCGGATGTCGAGGGGAGGCGGGTCGTGCGACTGCTCCGCGCTGTTGAGTTTCTCTGTAAGGTCGATGCTCCCATCAGCATGTTTCCTCGGCTATGTCGCTTTATGGCTGAGCAGGACACCCCGGACCTACCGCTCCAGTCTTACGGTGTTTACCTCACTCGGTAAGTACCGGCGAGTACATTCCATTAGTCTTCTCCGTTGGATTATTTTAACAATTACTCTCTCTTCTGCGTGCAAATACGGCTTTCAACAGATGGTCCACTGCTTGGCGACTCTTCTTCAACGGACCCAGATGCAACACATTCAATCGTCCCCGTTCCTCGGCATCAGTTGCGACGAGAGCACTGATCGTACCAGAGGGAAGCACCTGATAGTGTACCTCACGTTCCTGCGCCATCGCCGCGTTGTCACCGAGTTTTTCTCGTTGCTCACCGTCGAGAAGTGTGACGCCGCATCCCTGCTCTCCGTGCTTCTCACTCATCTTCAAGGCGCCGGCATCGAACTCAACTGCATCGCGGGAATCAGCACCGATGGCGCTTCCGTCATGGTTGGGCGCGAGAACGGTCTCGTGGCGCGGCTCCGCGAGCACATCCCTCACCTTGTGTCGTCCCACTGCATCGCCCACCGGTATAAACTCGTTATGTTATGTTGTCGCTTTTTTCTTTTATTCGTTTACTAATCTTTTTACATGGACTGTGCGCAGGGAAGCTCTGGCTGTGAAGGACGCCGCATCTGCCTGTCCAGACTTGGACATGGTCGACAAGGTTATCCGATCTCTGGCCAATCTCCTCGGCCATTCAAGCGTGTGGAGCCAGCGGTTCAAGTACCTGCAGCGTGTCATCCACAAGACCAACCTTGAAGTTCAAGGAATCCACGCGATTCGGTGGCTGTCCAGGGGCGAGGCAGTCAGACGCCTCTGTAAGGTCCTTGGTGCGGCCATCATTTTACTGTACGAGTATAACCATGAGCTGTACGAGGTTGTCATCTCATACAAGTTTCAGTTTTGTCTCTTCTTCCTGGCGGACGTCCTCGCCATCATGAACGAGCTCAACCTCAAGTTTCAGAAGCGAGAGGTGAGCCCTTGCATGTGAGCTTGTGGTATGTTATTTCACAATCAGCACTAACATTCTCCCCCTTGATTTGCGCCCCCATGTTTCCACCACCCCCCCCCTCCCCCCCCCGCCCGACCGCAGGTGGATGTTACCGAGATAACACAGGACGTCGACGAGGCGATGGGGGATCTTCGGCACCGTACTTGGAGTGCGGCGGGGTTTTCGGTGCGGGCGTAAGCGGCACGTGGCTCTCGGCTTTCTTAACCGTGTACAGGCGAGGGGGGGCGAAGAGCGTGAAGGTGCGCGGCGTCGACAAGGACGGGCAGCCGGTGACGCACACGTACCAGATGCACGAGCGGCAGATCAAGGGGCACGTCTACCAGAGCAACTACCGGGACTGCGAACTGTTGTGCGCGAAATTCGCGAGGGGGAGCGTGACGAACCTGCTGGAGCGGCTGGACGACCTGTCGAAGCTCGGGCCAACGAAGCTGTTTCGGGCGGGCAAGTGGCCGCGGCATCGGATGGTGAGGGAGAAGAAGACGAGAGAGTATCTCCATGGCTGCAGTGCTATCTTCGACGACAAGCTCCCCGGGTTCGATTTGAAGGAGGCGGAAAAGGAGCTGGCAACTTGGGCCCCGATCATGCAGAACCACCACAACGAGGAGGGCTTCTACCAGGGCCTCACAAACTACCTTTGCAACACGGAGTCAGGCAGGTAAGTCGAGCCTCCAAAGCACGCTGCTGTGTCTGCCTGTGTATAATTGTTTTTGCCAGTTTGACCACGCTAACAGTCTATGTTTGTATCAACTTCTATTGTTCCTTTCCCACCATGCTTGTAGTTTATAATTGATTCTATTGTTCCACGCCTCTTGTGTGTGGTTGTTCCATAAGCAGGCGCTGGCCCAACCTCATGCTTCTCTGGCAAGCATGCGCGGTGTTCCCACTCTCAACTGTGGAGTGCGAGCGTGGTTTTTCCAGGCAGAACGTGATCAAGTCTTGGGTCCGTGGTGCTCTGTGCAATGCCCGCCTGGGTGAGCTGATGATGATTTCGCTGCTGAGATACGACATCAACTGGCAGGAGGCGCTGGAGCTGTGGCACGCAAAGAAGAGAAGACCAGCGAAGTCGGTGGTGTTCGCATCACAAGAGAGGAAGCGCAAAGGCAAGGCTCTGCTGGAAGAGGCAGAGCAGGAACCTCCAGTGCCAGACTATTTAGGAGAGGATTGGAATGAGGAGGAGGAGGAGGGGGAGAGGGATGGTGGAGGTGCAGTAGCTATAGAAGACAACCCCTTTCTGTCGGATGATGAGGCGGAGGATGTTGTCGCTGTGGATGTGCCAGAGTTCTAGCTAGGCTAGGAAATTAGACTAGGTGTAGGTTAACTGCCCGAATGTTATAAAATAATGGCGACTAAATGGTAAAATCACGACTCTGATTCATACTTGCGAACCCTGAAGAAATCAGACTTGAGAGTCACTGGATCCTGAGAAATCAGACTACCATGAAATCTGAAACCTGACTACTCAGACTTGGGAAAAAAAATCGGGGCTAAAATCAGAGTGGGTTTTTTTGAAACGTCAGCCCTGGTGTGTTGACCAGGCGTTGAATGTCGAGGGTTGGACCAGTCAAGGGCTCGATAGTCCCGAGGGTGACGGGGTCAAAATGGGTTCGGGGCGACTCGGGATGAGGTTGGGGCTGACGAGGTCGGCGGGGGCTGGTTTGGTGCGAGAACCAAGGGCCAAGTCTGCGTACCCGAGAGGTTCGCGTGTACTTGCTGTGGCGAGCCCCTGAAAGGAATCGTAATTCCTTACAAAAGCCATAACTTGGGAATTGGCTGATTTTGAAACTCACACAATGTTATAAGTGTTGGGCTGAGAAAAAGCCCTTAGGATCTTTTGCAGAGACTAAGTCCCAGCTTGTAGAGACTTGAGACTTTGAGTAGTGCAGCGGAAGTTGAGACGGTTGAACCCTTGTACTAGTATGTGAGAACAAGTGATTGATTAAAGAAACAAGCATACAGCAATATATAGAAGATAAGAAAGCAGTTGTAGAATACAGTTACAGGAACGGTTTATCGAGTCGCACAGCGACTCGATTGCCGCTTCGGTTACCATCCGTGATGTTGTAACGGTCAGTCGCAACCTCCAGTTGCGACCTTTCGAGTCCTTTCGCATTCTTTGTCCGCCCCCTCGTGTAACCTCCGTTGACTCGCGTGCTCCCCTGTAATCTTCCTCGAGTACAGTGTTACACTTCAGAAACGCTTAAGTCCTTGAGATATTTCCAACACTCCCCTTCGTTTCTGGAGTGCTGGAGTGTTCAGATCCGGTGACGTTTGTTTGCCCGGTTAGGAGCATGCAGTAGTCGAATTTTGCTTTCGCCAATTTCTTCGTCAGATAATCTGCGGCCATTTCTGTCGTCGGGCAGTAACTGAGTTGAAGTCTCCCCTTCGCGATTTCATCCTTGACGAAGAAGTACCGCAGGGCGATGTGCTTGGTTCGGTTGGCGAAGCCGTCCTTGTTCGCGATTTTGATCGCAGATTGGTTGTCGCAGAGGAGTGAGAAGGCGGGCAGGGTCGCGATCTTCGCTTCTTCGAGTAACTCTCGTAGGTAGAGTCCTTCCTTGGTCGCAGTACAAAGGGCGATATACTCTGCTTCAGCCGAGGATAGTGCGATTAACTCCTGCTTGCTCGACTGCCAGGAGATAGTTCCGATAGGTTCTAGTCGGTAGATGTAGCCCGTCCTAGACCGTCGATTTTCGCTGTCTCCCGCGTGGTCGGCGTCGACGTATCCGAGTAGTTGTACGGACGGTGTTGTTGCCTTGCTGTAGGTGAGCCCGATCGTCGGCGTGGAGACGAAGTAGAGTAGCGCTCGATTGAGTTCTTCGAGATCTTCCTGTTGCGGCTGCTTCAGATGTGTCGCCAGCTGACTCGCACTATAGGATAGGTCGGGTCGGCAGGTTACTGCTGCGAATAGTAGGCAGCCGAGCTTCTGTTGATACTCCTGGATTTGTTTCGCGGGGAGTTTTGTGGAGGCGCTACTGTTGTTCCCATAGCGGTAGGGAGTTGGGACCGCAGTCGGTGCTAGACCGAATTTCTTCGCGACGGTGCTTGAGTACTTTCCAGCGTGTAGGTAGAACGCCGTGTCGTCTTCGACGATGTTCAGTCCTAGGTACTGGGTAACTTCGTCGGACACCGTGAGAGTTAAATCTTCTTTCAGCTCCCCTTCGAACCAGGTGGCGATGTCGATAGTGGAGCCGATGTAGAGCAGGTCGTCGACGTAGACGATGAGCAGAACATAATCTCTTCCCTTCTGTAGTCGGTACATCCCTTGGTCATGCGGTAATTGTAGGAAGCCGATCTTTGCGAGACGGCCGTGGAGATGCTGCTGCCAGAGCCGCGGGGCTTGCTTAATCCCATATAGGGATTTTGTCAGTCGGCATATTTTCGTGGGATCGTTGATGAATCCGTGGGGTTGTTCGACGAAGATCTCAGCGTCCACAGGTGCGTATAGGAATGCATTCGCGACATCGATTTGGCGTAGTGGCAGTTTTTTCGTGGCCGCGACGGCGAGTAGGATGCGTAATGAGGTGTGACGGGAGACTGGAGCGAAGGTTTCTGTGTAGTCGGCTCCGTATCGTTGGTCGAAGCCTCGTACGACCCATCGAGCTTTGAATCGTTCGATGGAACCGTCTGAGTTGGTCTTGATGCGGTACACCCATTTCCCCGAGAGAACGTTTTTTCCGTTGATGCTCGTTGCAGGTACCAGTTTCCATGTTTCTCGGTCTTGCAGAGCTTTTAACTCCTTTTCCATTGCTTCCTTCCATCTTGCCTTATGTTCCCCCCCCAGAGCCTGCGACAACGTTGAAGGCTCTCGCGGAGAAGGCGGCGGCGGATTCTGGACGGAGACCCAGAGGCCTAGAATCTGGAGTCCCGTGGGCGTGTGTCGAGGGGAATTTTCATTCCCGGAATAAGCTGCTTCGTCACCGTCTTCAGGGTCAGGTAAGAAATTGGGGCCGATGCGTTCCGAAATATTCGTGTCGACGGGGTGAGGTGTAGCGTAACCTTGGTCGGCGAAGTGGTAAAAGGTGTCGAGGTTGTTGCTATCGAGGGGATTATCTTCATCGAGTGGAACAGGTACGGAACAGAATGGGAGTGGTCCGGCAGCTTCCGAGGCTCCAGGTACGTCTTCTTCTGCTGCGTCAGCCTCGGCAGTATGGTCAGCGAAGGAGCGAAGGCCCGCGAAGCCGTCGGTGGGGTCTTGTGTGTTGGCAAGGTTGTCCAGGTAATGCTGCAGCGTCAGTCGTTCGTAGAAGATAACATCGCGTGATGCCACCGTGTTTTTGTCTTGTATGTCGAGAATTTTCCACGCGTGAAAATGTTTTGCGATGCCGAGGTGTAGTCCCCATCGAGCTCTTTGTGAGAAGCGTCCTGCTCGGGCTGTGTGGGGTCTGTACTGTACCATGCAGCCGAAAACGCGGAGTAATTTTGTGCTGCCCCTTTTTCTTGTCCACAACAGGTGCGGCGATGCGTTGTTGGGAAGTGATGACGAGGACAGCAGGTTGTGCAGGTGAACAGCATGTGTCATCGCGTCTGGCCACAGTGCGTTGGGCAGCCTCATCCCCAGAAGTAGTTTTCGCATCGTCGTCTGCAAGGTCCGGTTCATGCGTTCTGCTACCCCCTGCTGCTGGTGAGCATAGGGCAGAGACACCAGGCGTCGGATTCCCCTTTCCGCGAGATAGGTCCTGAAGCGTTGTGACTGGTATTCCAGTGCACCGTCTGACTGGAAACTCTTGAGTTTGGTTCCTGACTCTCGTTCGGCGATTGGAAGCCATGTGGTGAAGGCCTCGAAGGCTTGATCGCGCGTTTTGAGATTGAAGTGCCAGACATATCTGGTTGCGGCGTCGATGAACGTGATGACGTAGTTGAAGTCGGCTTCGGTGTCGTCTCGAGGCATGTTTAGAATATCGCTGTAGACCTTTTCCATCGGAGCGTAAGTGGGTGCGCTTGGATTGTGATGGGCTGGGAAAGGTTGATGAGGAAGATCTGCTTCGGGGCACGTGAAGCATCGTGCTCTTGGTCGGCGAAGTTCTTGGCCGCTCGTCGTTAGAAGGGCGTTACGTTCTAACACCTCTGCTTGTATTGTTTGTAGTATCGTGCTGTTTGCAGGATGTCCGAGACGTTGGTGCCAGATGTCGTCGGGAGCGCGGTGACCGGGCGAGCGGTGGTAGATGTCGGCGTTGGAGAAGAACGCGACGACCGAGGCGGGACTTCGACAAGCTTCTCGTGTGGCGGGCATAAGTTGGTCTGCTTCCGTTGGCGGTCCTCGTGTTGATGGTGGTGGTACTCGGCTGGGTCCTGCTGCCGATACTGCAGGTGATGGTTTTGTTGGGACGCTTGCTGGTACTTGTCTTTCTTGTCTGATAACTGCTAATGCCCGTGTTCTCTCTGCTGCAGGTATGGTGTTGGAGTGCCAGAAGCCGTCACTGTCGAAGTCGGGATCAAGATCTGGTGGGTGAGTCCAGGCGGCGAACGATACGATGCCATCGCTGTCGGCAGTTCCGCGGTCGGGGACGAAGTCCAACACGAAGACACCGGACTTCAGGAGGGCACGACCGATGAAGAGACCGCCCTTCCCGTGGTAAAGTCGGAACTCGTTGGAGAAGGAGTCGCACTCCAGGTGAATCCCCTTAGCCATTAGTTGGCTTACGCTTAGTAGGTTGTATCCCAGATTGTCGACGATGAGGACTTTGTTGAGCTGAAGAATAACGTTTGTCTCCATTGATTGTAACTGAACCACGCCTTGCCTGTTTGTTTTCAGGTTTTCGTTGTTGGCGACGGTGATGACGACGTCGCGGTTGAGGCGTCGCTCGTGTTGTACGAAGCGTCCGGAGGAGCACATGTGCTGACCGCAGCAACTGTCCAAGAACCAGGTGTTCCGCCCGGTGGGTTCGGCGTTAGCGACTGCAGCGTATGTCGGGTTGACCTGAAGTCCTTGCGAGCGCGGCGGCGGGAATTCCTCTTCGTCTGGTGCGTAAGTGGGTGGTGAAGCGGGTGCGCAGTTGTCGATGTGTACCATGCAGTTGATGATGTTGGGTGTTTGTTGTGCAGATGTTGAAGAACGCCTTGGAGGACTTGCTTGAGTGGAAGCGACTTGTGGGTCTGCTGCACGGTAAACGCGAGGGCGGTTGCAGTTGACCTTGGAGTGCCCGGAAGTCTGACAGTTGTGGCAGAACGGCGGCACGATGGTGAGTCCTCGGTTGTCGCGTTGATCTTGCTTGCTGCGTCGGTTGTAGTTGTTGTCATTTCTTCTTTGAGTGTAGAAGACTAACTGCTGTTGCTTCCTTGGTTGTCTTTCCTCGAACAGATCCATCTCCTGTTGTTCAGCGTGAAGCTCGGCGCAGAGGTGCATCTCCGAAATTCTTCCGTGGGCTCGAAGAAGTGATCGTGTGGTTCTCCATTCTGGCCCGAGCCCGGCGAGGACAAGTGTCACGAAGCTTTCTTCAGTGATCGTTCCTCCGCACCGAAGCAGGCGGTCGCGGAGAGTCTGGCAGCGACTCATATACTGCATCGCCTTTTCCCCGGTCTTCATCTGTATTGTTGTCAGCTGTTGCATGAGTCTGCTTTGTGTCACGCTGTCGTTTGCTTGGTAAAGGCACTTGAGGTGGTGCCATGCGAGCTCCGCGGAGTTTCCATAACTCCGATACGTTCTGATGCTTTGCTGCTCTTGTGGTGACAGGTTTCTCAGGAGTACCGTGTACGCCAGCAGCGACTGATACGTGAAGATCTCTTGTTCCTTCCCAGTGCCGTTGCTTGGGAATGGCAGGGACCCGTTGAAGTATCCCAGAAGATGCGCGGCCTCCATCAGCAGCTCGAACTCGAAGCTCCAGGTAAAGAAGTCGTGTCCGTTGAACGGTGAGGATGTCTGAAGTTTGATCACGTGTGAGAACTGCGCCTGTAAACTTAAGATTTCATTCGGTGTTTGTTGTGATGCAGCTGCTGTTGGCTGGGCACGGGGCGGCATGAATTCGAACGTCCCCGGCGAAGAATGATAAGGCGCAAAGGTAGGCGCTTGGTTGTGTCGCCCGAAGGATGAGTTGTCGAGGCTCATCGGCGCTAATCCCATATTCCCTCCATTGCTCTGTGTTGATTGCGCAGGTGTCCTTGTCTGCTGCTGCTGGTCGAAGTGTGACATGAAGCTGAAGAATCTCTCCATGAGATTCGGGTCCACACTTGAAGAGGGAGACGGAGTCACCATCTCTGGTACTCTTCCCGTTGTTTCTTGAGCAGTCCCGGTCTCTGTCTGCAGTCCTGAGGTGTGCAGACCAGAGTTGCCGTGTTGAGTTTCTTGGGCGCTGGGTGAGCCCGTAGAGACTTTCTTGCCCTTGTTGTCCATGTCTTGTAATCAATGGAGTTGTTGAATCAAGTTGAGTTGCTGGTTGTTGATGGAGTGTAGTTGCTGGGAGTTTGGTCTCTGACCAGCTCTCATACCATGTTGGGCTGAGAAAAAGCCCTTAGGATCTTTTGCAGAGACTAAGTCCCAGCTTGTAGAGACTTGAGACTTTGAGTAGTGCAGCGGAAGTTGAGACGGTTGAACCCTTGTACTAGTATGTGAGAACAAGTGATTGATTAAAGAAACAAGCATACAGCAATATATAGAAGATAAGAAAGCAGTTGTAGAATACAGTTACAGGAACGGTTTCTCGAGTCGCACAGCGACTCGATTGCCGCTTCGGTTACCATCCGTGATGTTGTAACGGTCAGTCGCAACCTCCAGTTGCGACCTTTCGAGTCCTTTCGCATTCTTTGTCCGCCCCCTCGTGTAACCTCCGTTGACTCGCGTGCTCCCCTGTAATCTTCCTCGAGTACAGTGTTACACTTCAGAAACGCTTAAGTCCTTGAGATATTTCCAACAATAAGGACACATAAGGTGAAGGAAAGCTATTCATTCTAGGTAGCCAATACAGGAAGCCAAACTACCACAGTTGGCCGAATTCCCTCAACCGCCCTATCCTACCCTGTTGCCCCAACTGGAAGTACCGTGCCGGACTCGGCGCTTCCAAATCTGATGGGGTCAAACGAATCCCTCTTGGTGCTGCACAAGGTTCTTCGAACTCATCGACACAATGTGTTGAAACATCTTCATGCACAATCTACTCCATCCAACGCAAAAACCATCCTAGGCGCAGCCATTCTTGAACCATCTCACATCTCAGCCCCAACTCGCCACTCCTAGTCCTCGTGTGTCACTCGCCGCCACTGCAGCCATCTTATAAGCCGCTTCCTCACAAACGAATCCCCTCAACCTCTCCCTCTCGAGCCTCAACACCACCCTACCCCCCATTCCCCTCTCGCACCCTTCAAATCGCCACTTGTCATCTTGGTGTGTCGCCGCTGCTGAGATCATCCCACAAGCCTCGTTTGCACCCACAGGGTTCCCCCCACCCTCTCCCTCCCCAGCCACACAACCCTACCCCCAAGCCGCAGCCTCTCTCAAGCCTCAACCCGCCACTCCAGATCCTCGTGTGTAGCTGCCGCTGAGAACCCACTTCCCACCAGACGCGCTGACTCAGCGCCAGCGCTGTCAGCGTTGTCATCATCATTCAGAGACATCGAAGCCAGGGAATCCAACAGCGACTGGGTGGCAAAAGTGCTGCTGCTGGTGCCGGTAGTGCTGCTGGCAGTGGTGGTGGTTGCCCTGGTGGTGGTGCTGGTAACAGGACGTGACCCAAGGGGCCTTCCTGGTTGTGGGCCACTGGGGCCGTCTAGGGGTGAGTCCGAGGGGAGGTCGGGGGGAGGGATGGTGGCGGGGAGGGGGCAGCCCGTGTAGGCGTTGTTCCTGCGGCAGAACTGCAGCAAAGCGCCCCAGCAGCGGTCCTGTGAACAGGGGAAAAACGGGGAGAGGGGAGGAGATAGGGGGAGGGGTGGGAGAGAGTGAGAGAAAAGCCTGATGTTAAAAGCGGTGTTCCTTCTTTTGAGTCGACTCAAAAGCGGTGTTCCTTCTTTTGAGTCGACTCAAAAGCCGTGTTTCTGTGGCAGAACTGCAGCAGCGAGCCCCAACAGGGTGGTCCTGTGATGGAAAAAAGGTTGGGATTTTTTTTTATTTTTTTTTTATGTATATATATATATATATATATTTTGTTGATGGGTGGGGGTGGCAGAGGAGGATGGTGCAACCTTGAACAGGGGACTTAACCATGGACCAGGGAAACCACCTGATAAACCATACCCATGCGAGCCATGAATACCACCTGAAAAACCATACCCACCTTTGCTGGAAAACCACCTGAAAAACCTTACTCACCTGAGCCAGGAAAACCACCTGAAAAAACATACGCACCTGAGCCAGGAAAACCACCTGAAAACCATACCCACTTGCGCCAGAAAAACCACCTGGAAAACCATACTCACCTGAGCCAGGAGATTGGGGTTGCCCACGATGATCAGCAGCTGCTTGGCCCTCGTTACAGCCACATTGAACCTCTTGGGGTTCGCCAGAAACCCCAGGTTGTGCTTATAATCGAACTCCACATACTGCTGACTGGACCTGACAGTCGATACAATCACCACCCGCCGCTCCTGCCCCTGAAACTCCTCCACACTGCCCACCTTCACTGCGCCCATGCCCTTCCCCTTCAGCTGCACCTGAAGCTTCTGCATCTGCTTGCGATAGGGAGTAACCACCCCTATGTCCGTCAAAGGGACCCTCTGGCTCCTATAGCCCATTAAGGAGGTAATGTATTTTATGACCACGCTAGCTTCAGTCGGGTTGAAAAAAGACGGGCTGCTCCCCTCCCTCTCGTCCCTCCCCATCACCCCGTGGAAAAAGATCGGGAATTCTTTTTTGTTGGGCAGCTCGTCCCAGCGGCACAGGGAAGATCGGGCCATCTCATCCGCACACGCCTCCAGCTCGCCCTCGTAGAACATCTCGTTGGGCAGCTCCAAAATTTTCGGGTGTGAGCGGTAGTTCTTGACTAGCTTTGTGATTGCGCTAGTGTTGTAGCCAATGAAACCGCCGCCGCCGCCCTCCGAATCTTCGGGTGAGTAAATGCCGAGGTTTGCCATCCGCTCGAGGTATGAGCACTGTAGCTTGTATCTCCGGGCGGCAAGGGAGCGGACGACGGGGCCCAGCTGCTTGTGGTCGCCGGCCAATAGGATGACGGCATGTGGCGTGGCATGGCAAGCGATGGGGATGATCCCCTCGGGCTCGATGGCATGGCCGGCCTCGTCGATGAAGATGTGGGTGAAGGTGCCCCGGGGGACACCTGCAGAATGCAAGAGGGGGGGGGGGGGAGTGGGAGGAAGACCGATTGATGGGGATGATGCCCTCGGGCTCGATGGCATGGCTGGCCTCGTGTATGAAGACGAGGGTGAAGGTGCCCCGGGGACACCTGAGGGGGAGGAGGAGATTGTGGGGGGGCGGGGGGAGAGAGGGAAGCGGTAGAGCAGCACAGCAGAGCAGGAGGTGACGGCGACGACCCTGGCAGCATGGATCTCAGAGAGAGGAACAGTTGTGTGCGAATGGGGTAACCACCACCTACCCATTTGTTATCCACCACCTACCCATTTGTTATCCACCACCTACCCATTTGTTATCCACCACCTACCCATTTGTTATCCACCACCTACCCATTTGTTATCCACCACCTACCCATTTGTTATCCACCACCTACCCATTTGTTATCCAGCACCTACCCATACGGTAACTGCCACGTACCCATGCGGTAGAGCAGAGCCGCAGAGCAGCAGGTGACGGCAACGACGCTGGCAGCATGGATCTCAGGGAGGGATGGCAGGCCCCCGTGGAGTTACAAGGCACACATGTAATACCATACACACGACATAGCCATGCGGTAACCACTGCAGCACACTCACCCATGCGGTAGAGCAGAGCAGCGGAGCAGCAGGTGACGGCAACGACCCTGGCAGCATGAATCTCAGAGAGGGTCGGCAGGCGGAAGACCCCCGTGGAGTCGTCGTAGCGCGTGAAGGGCAGCAGATCGGACTCCACCTCGCCCCGGCCACGACTGACTGAGTAGAGCCGCAGCATCTCCCGCACCTTGAGGGGGGGCGGGAATTATACAGTTCAACAGCAGAGGGAGTTGGGGGGGAGGGGATAGCGTTTGGGAGCGCAGGGGCAGGCGGAAGACCCCCGTGGAGTCGTCGTAGCGAGTGAAAGGGGAGGGGATCCGACTCCACCTCGCCCCGCCCGCAGCTGACCGAGTAGAGCCGCAGCATCTCCCGCACCTGGAGGAGGGGGGGGGGGTATGGTTGAAGAGGAGGATGGAAGGTGCAATAGAGCGTGAGCGAGGTGTGCGCCGCGACCGACGGAGTAGAGCCGCAGCATCTCCCGCAGCTGGAAGGGCTAACGACATGATTTGACAGTGAGGGGGTGTTATGGAATCTCAGAGAGGGATGGCAGGCGGAAGACCCCCGTTGAGAAGATCTGATTGAGTCCACCTCGGTACTCCAATGACTCGGAAAAATGAATCGCAGCATCTCCCACACCTGGAGGGGGGGTGTTATCCAGCAGGAAAGATGGGAGAGAGGAAGTGGGAGGGAGGGGGGAGGGGGAAAGAAGGGGGGAAGGGGGGAAGAGGAAGGACGAAGAAAAGGAAGCAGAATCTCAAGGAGAAATGGGGCAGTCGTGTAAATTTTGAGATCCACAACACACAAGGCACAGCAGACAGAACCCACCTGCAGCGTGCCTTTGAGCCGGAGTGCGATGTTGTCAGTGGCACTGTTGGAAGGCGCACACACCAGCACACGCGCCGATGGGAGGGCACGCACCACCTGTCACGGGTGGGAGTTATGGGCGGCACAGACATGGGCGGCACAAAGATGGGTGGCACAAAGATGGGCGGCAGAAAGCCTCATGATCACCAAGTCGACAGAAAGCAAGCCTCGACAGCAAGCCATGCAGCGCATTCCTCACCAAAGAGAGCCCAGCAATGCACAAAACGGAACCGTTACGGGAAAAACCGAAGGGGTGGAGCTAGCCGACCTGCACAAGGGGTAGAGCTAGCCGACCTGCACAAGGGGTAGAGCTAGCCGACCTGCACCCAACAGTGAACCGACTGACGAACCCAGAAGGCTGCAGTGACTCTAGTGTCGACTCAACAATCCACCTGTAGGGTCGTCGTGGGAGTCCAATTGAAGGCCTTCCTGTAGGATGGCTTCCACAGCTGTCTTGGTTTTGCCGGTCCCTGGCGGCCCGAACACGATGTACGGCGGCAGGTAGGGCCGCAGGGACTCTAGAGCCGACTCAACAACCCACCTGTAGGCTGTAGGGACTCGAGAATCAGTTGAACCACCCACCTGTAGGATGGCTTCCACAACTGTCTTGGTTTTGCCGGTCCCTGGCGGCCCGAACACAATGTACGGCGGCAGGTAGGGCTCTGGGCGAGCGCCCAGCTGCAGACGGGAGCGCACGAGCACCTGCGCCACTGCCTCCTTCTGCTCCACGTTGAGCTGGCGGTCAAACGGACGGATGGCAGGGATCTCTGGAGGGGGAGGTGGGGGGGAGGGAGTGGGATGCAGGGAGGAGACTTTTGAGTCGACTCATAAGTCATCTCTGGAGGGGGATGCAGGGAGGAGACTTTTGAGTCGACTCATAAGTCATCTCTGGAGGGGGATGCAGGGAGGAGACTTTTGAGTCGACTCATAAGTCATCTCTGGAGGGGGATGCAGGGAGGAGACTTTTGAGTCGACTCATAAGTCATCTCTGGAGGGGGATGCTAGGAGGAGACTTTTGAGTCGACTCATAAGTCATCTCTGGAGGGGGATGCAGGGAGGAGACTTTTGAGTCGACTCAAAAGTCATCTCTGGAGGGGGATGCTAGGAGGAGACTTTTGAGTCGACTCATAAGTCATCTCTGGAGGGGGATGCAGGGAGGAGACTTTTGAGTAGACTCAAAAGTCATCTCTGGAGGGGGATGCTAGGAGGAAGAGAATGGGGATGGGCGGAGCGGAGTTAGGAGGGCGGAATGAGCAAGATGCCCTGGGTCTCTGATCAAAGCCAGCACCCCATCACGGAAAGCCAGACCAGGCACGTTGTCAGGACTCAGGGATTGGAAAACGATTATGCACATTGCATTTATTTATCTGCAAATAGAAGCGTGACAGAAAAACCCACCCACCCACCGATGGTGAAGATCCTCTGGGGGATCTGAGATGGCATCAGCACGTGCTGCCCCAGGTGCCAGTCGGCCATACTGTCACACACATTGTGTTTGCCTGTTACCCCTATAACCAGTAGCCGCGACCCACCGACCCACCCATCCACCCCCTGAACCACCCAACCCACCCACCCACCGACCGACCGACCCACCCACCCACCGATGCTGAAGATCCTCTGGGGGATCTGCGACGGCATCAGCACGTGCTGCCCCAGGTGCTGGTTCGCCAGCCCCAGCGCCAGGTGGCACGCTCTGGTTGGCCCGCGGGGCACCTCGAAGCGCACGTTGAACTGCTGCCCGCGGATGAAGCGGCGGTGGAAGTCGGGGTGGAAGCGCAGCAGCGCACTCTCTCTGTCCACCCCGTGCACGAACCCCTGTGGGAGGGGAGGTGGGGGGTGCAGACAGAGAAGCAGATGACAGAATCGCATCTTAAACTGCTGCTGGCAGATCTAGTGGCTGTGGAAGCCGGGATGGAAGCGCAGCAGCGCACTCTCCCTTTCGACTCTGTGAACAACGCCCTGAGGAGAAACGCAGGGGAGCATAGGGTGAAGGCAAGCGGTGGTGGAAGTCGGGATGGAAGCGCAGCAGCGTACTCTCCCTCTCGAATCTGTGCACAATGGCCTGGGATGGGCAGGGGACGTGCGGGGGACAGGGAAAGCATATTGGCAGGATCGCAGGTTGAGCTGAGCTGCTGCCCGCAGATGAAGCAGCGGTGGAAGTCGGGTTGGAAACGAAGGAGCGCACTCTCCCTCTCTAAACTCAGTGCACGATGGCCTGAGAGAGTGCGTGGAGGTGGGGCAACCGGAGAGATAACATATTGGCAGAATCGCAGGTCGAACTGAGCTGCTGCCCACGGATGAAACGGTGGTGGAAGTCGGGGTGAAACGGCAGCAGCGCGCTCTTCCTCTCGACAAAATGAACGGTGCCCTGGTGACTTTTGAGTCGACTCATAAGTCACCTCGTTACACTGTCACACAGTGCCCTGGGGAGACAAGCAAGCGGCAGAGGATGACAAGAGCAGCAGTGCTATCTCCCTTTCGGTTCAGTGTGCGAATCCATGGAAAGCTGGAAGGGGGGACAAGGAGAGCAAAGGGACTGATCCGCTTTTCCTTCCCACACCCCACCCCACAGCAGCACACACTACAACATACCTGGTACTCAATGCGCCTATGCCCTCCTCCCCCGCCGTCTCCGCCCTCGTTGGCGTACGACAGGTACACCCGATCGCCAAACAGCACGGAGGGGCGTTTCTCAGCCAGCCCAGGCACGGTCAGCTGGAAGTGATCCACCCCCGCGGGCAGCAGTGTCACTCCTTTCATGTCATAGTAACGAATGTCGAATTCCATTTGAAGCTCCTCTACGTGCAATAACAGCTCGAACCGCTTCTTGTACGTGTCCAGTGTAACCGGGCCCTCGAAACCTGGTAACCGCATTTCTGCAGTGTTCATCCCCTCGTAGCTCTCCCTCACCCAGCTCGGGATTCCGAACCACGGGATTTTCGCCAACTGCTCGCCAGCACGCTTCCACCCTTCCGGCTCGACACCTGGCAGGATCTCAGCCGCCGGCTCCTCCTCCTGGCGCGATTTCCGGTCCTTGGGTTCGAACGGCGCCGTGGGAGCCATGGACTTGGTCACCTGGTCTTCCACCAGGATGTTGAGATAACGGCCGATCAAGAAATTCTCGAAGCTGAACACCAGAATGGCTTTAAGAACTCCCACGGACGACGGTTTGACCCGCAGAGTCAGCTGGTACGCCACGCGCGGCCGGATCTCCATTCCGCTCCGCGGAACGGCTTCGTCTGTCCCTATCACGTACCCTGAGAACCCGAATTTGATGTCCGGATTCTCGGCCGCGAGCTTGCAGGAGACCAGCCGCTGGGTCTGGTGGCGGTTCGTGATTGTAACGAGGCATTCGAGAGTAGACCCTAGGTCCATCTTAATAGGCTGGGTGTCGGCGCCTCTTGCCACAGATGATCCTGGTGCTCGTACTGCGCCTACTGCACTAGCTGCAGAGGGTACTTGCGGTTGGGAGGGGGTTCCCAGGAGTGACGCAAACGGGTGGCTTATGTCGATGCCGAATTTCCCGCGCTGAACATAGTCACGCTGCTCCCGAAGCTTCCTCGCAGCTGCGCGGGCTTTGTGAGTCTTATCCGACGAGCAGTGCACCTCCAGCTGATGAACAGAATCAAATAAAATCTCACAGGTCGTGCAGTGGAATTTCCCTTTCGACTGGCTCTTCCGCACGGCGTTTCGGTGCCGGAATCCGTTCAGATGCTGCTGCAGCTGCCAGGGGTTCGGGCAGGTGACGTCACAGATCCCGCACCGCCGATCCTGGCTCACAGGTGCTTTCGCAGGTAGCGGCACAGGGCTTCGAGCTGAGGCTGGAGCTCCTGATCTTTCCCGCCAGGTCACCGTATCCTGTAGGTATACCACTAGAGAGTGCTTTGCTAGAAGGAATAACACCAGCTGATTCGGTAAGGTCACGGATCTGCGAGTGTTGTCGTTGGTCGCGCTCGACTGGCAGAACTGCTGGTGGGCCGCACCTAGGGCGGGGCGGGTTCGCGGCCATACGTTGGAGCTCGCGAGGTACTGACAGAACTCGCGAAGGTACGCGGACACCGAGGCGGAATCTCGCGACGCCATGGATGCAGCGACTGGAGCTCTAGATTTACAACCTGATGTGAGCAAGCAAAGGCAAGCAAGGGCGAGTGAGGGCCGGCGTTGAACGTAACCTTTTTAGGAGAAAGGGAAACCAGGAAATTTCCTGTCGGCGCGTGTCTGGATGGGTGGTTGATCTAAGAATGCCGCTGTCGCCAATCCATAAGTTTGCTCGGCTTAGAAACGCTCAGCATCGTCCATGTGACTCACTGACGACACTGCATGTCTGGCTATTTGCTAGATTCCGAAACCATGCACGGAGGTTTGCTTCCGGTCAGAGGGAAATGGTCAGTCAAACTGTATTGGAAGGAAGCGACAATCCCGAGGGGTTGCGTTTATGGTGGTGATGTGGAGAGATAAGCCCAGATCGTGCCTGACGAGAGTGAACCCCCTAGATGATGTCTCAGAATGAAGAAGCCGTAAGGGCGTGTCGTAAGAGTACGTCCGAATGCGATTGAGTAAGGTGAATTGCGTTTCAAAAAGATCAAATACCACTAGAACACGGTTCGGTAGGGTGTTGGCAGAAAAATGAACGCTTAGGACACGCCCTAACCGCAAAGGTGCAAGCGAAGAAACGTCACCATCACGACTCGGGACGACAGTTTGCAGCGTTACCACAAGGCATTTACGAACTCCACGAATCTCGAAACTCTGGGGGCACTCTCCCAGGCAACCTCGCGAATATCATCGCCAACACGTCGATCTCTTCGCAAGTGGGGCTGGGCAGTGCACACGCAGCTACCCCGGTTTTGAGGCACTCGTTCTATGATATGACCTTGAATTGAGAACAAGAACATGTCGCTTCCCTCGTATATTGTTTTAAGCAATCGTCCAGAAGATGCCATGAAGGGGATTGACATCGCGTGGAACGGTCAGCGTCATTGACTGGTCGCTGCGCATCTCTCTCTCCCGCTCGCCCTTCTGGGTTGGTGCTTTTGTCCACCGTAGCCCCTTATGTCAGCGGCGGGTTCAGTGGCTCTGAGACCGCCAATAAGGAGGCAGGGCACGCGCTGAATCGTCCACGGCCATTGTCCGTTTCTCCACGTTTTCCCGAAAGCTTCCAATTGCTTTCCTGCACAAATCCACCACATCGGACGGGCACGCGCGATCCACGCTTGCGTGGACCGAAGAGCACCGACCAGAGAATTCTCTCCCCAGTCAACCCTTCCAAACGCCGAGGCGCGCAAGCATAAAACAAGCTTGATGAGATGAGATGAGATGAGACCCAACCAAGCCAATTCACCAGCAGCAATTTCATCCAATTTCGCCACACCCCCAACAGCAAACCAAAACCTTGCCACTTCCAATCCAACCATTCTGTGAACTCGATTCCCCAGCAAGCAAGACGCTCCAACTCCCAGATTTGAAACTTCCGTCGTCGGACAGCCCAATGGAGAGAACGCGTTTCCGCCTCCCGGCAATGTGGCGAATGCTCAACGACAGCCGCGTCTACTTCTTCGTCGTGGCTCTCCTGTCCGCTAGCGGCGCGGCATCTGCCGCCTCGTGCCAGAGCTCTTCGCTTACAGGATTCACCAGCTCCATCGACCTCTCGGGTAACGGGTAAGTCGAAGACCATCTCTCTATTATTCTGCAGAATTGTTCGCCCAAGCATTCCCCATAAATCGCCCCTTCATGCCTTTTTCCTCGCTTGACCCCCAAGTTCCTTTCCCTTCTCTCCTACGCTATATTTTTTCTTCCTAGAATACTGGCCGGATGATATCTCTCTTTCATGCATATCTTCCCCTTCTCTTTCCCCTGTCGCGGCAGCCTCGTTCTCCACTGGGCGCTTGACGGCACGCAGGCAACGCTGCGGATGGCGCTGGAAGCCAAATCCGGCAGCGGCGCCGAGAGCGGCTGGATCTCCGCCGGCTGGTCCGCGGACGGCCGCATGTACCCCGCGGACTGCGTCGTCGGGAACCTGCCGGGCGGTGAAATAGGCGCGTATTACATGAGCGGGTACGGCGACGCTGACGTGGTGCCGACTAGCAGCTTCTCCCTCGGTTCTGCCGCGATGCTGACGTCCAACGGCGGGACTATCATGCAGTGAGTGGTTTGGGTGACGGCAAGTCGTTTGACGTGTGGTGGTTTGTGCTTGTGCTGTGTTTGTAGTCATGTTTATGTCTATGTTTAGTGGTTGGGTTTATGTTACTGTTTTCGGCTACACTCCCGACGTATTTCGTTCTTGCATTTCATTGTATCTTGTACAGTGACATTCTTGCAAAATGTTTTGCGTGCACCTATATCGGGGATTCCTTATCAGCAAGACTCACCGTACCCAGACCTGTTGAAGTTAGGTCACGACTCATGAGCTAGTCGCCGTGATATCCAGCCACCCATTCTTCCGCAAAGCCGCCAGCGCATGACAGAAACGACTCGCTACCGACGAGGACTCGCGGGACTCGCTGCCTACGATACTACCTTCATGACGCATTTTCTAACCACGTGGCACGATTGCGAATTGGCAGGTTCTCCCGGTCGAGCGGCGACGGCGGCGCGATAGCGGTGAACGTGGCGGGGGCGAACACCATCATCTGGGCCTACTCCGAGTCGGGCTCCACCGCGCTCGGCTTCCACGGCCGCAACGAGTGAGCCTAGTTTTCTTTACCGAGCCAGGCTCCAGCGCCCTTGCTTTCCAACGTGACGTTAACGTCCCTCGATATGAATGACGTCCCGTGTCATTCTAAGTCGTCCATTTTGAATGAATCGTACCTCGGAGGTACTAGTACCTTCATTGGGGATGATGCATATCGCACTCCAACGTTTTGTCCCTCCATATGAATGGATGACGCTTACTCAAAGGCCTCCACTCCTCGCTCTTCCCATCCCCCCAACAGTGGAGCCACATCGGTGGACTTCTCGTGCGTGGGAGCCGCTGCTGCTGCCAACTCCACTGCGGGGAGCGGCGCTGGGGGCAACACTGGGAGCAACACGACAACCGGCGGTAGCAGCGCCGGAAGCAACACGACAACCGGCGGTGCCTCAGGTGGCAACAGCGGCAGCACTAACGCCACAACGGGCAGCGGAACGGGTGGCACCAGCAGTGGCAGCACCAACAGCACCACCACTCCCACGCCGCCCTCCACCCCACCTGCTTATAACGGATCTCTCCCGTTCCCGCCTGACTTTAACGGGTCCGTGCCTCGCCCTCCCCACCACGAGGGGGGCGACGACCACGATCGTGACCACGACGGTGAGAGTGGCAGTGACCAGGACGGGCAGCAAGGGGAGCAGCGGGGAGACGGAGATGGGGAGTGGGAGGGCGGTAGGGGAGAAGGAGGAGAAGGAGCCGGTCTGGGCAGTGGGTCCTCCTCTGGTGCGGCTGCTTGCCAGTCTTCCTCCCTCTCGGGATACGAGCACTCTGTGACTGTAACGAGTGGCCTTCTGCTTCACTGGACGCTCGTCAGCGCCGCCACCACCACCACCAGTACCAGCACCGGGGGGAGGGCGCAGGTGCAGCTGGCGTTGGAGGCGCAGCAGGGCAGCGGGGCTGAGAGCGGCTGGATCTCCATCGGCTGGTCAACGGACGGCCGGATGGCCCCCGCTGATGCCGTCATCGGGAACCTTCCAGGAAACGCGGTCGCTGCATACGCCATGACTGGTTACCAGATGTCAGACGTTGCGGTTACCACCAACTTCTCCGTCGCTGAAGCGAGTACTGAGACAGCTAGTAACGGAGCGACCGTTGTGAAGTTTACCCGGACGGAGGGGGATGGGGGAATCGTCCCTGTGGATTTTACCGGGGTAAATACCCTCGTGTGGGCGTTTTCGGGATCCGGCACACAGGCACTGGACTACCACAACCACAACGAGTGAGTTCAACTGCTGGTAACCTAACCACATGGTTACACTCTGGTTCGTGAATGTCAGAAACTTGTCTTACCGCATCCACATGCATGTTACCACATGCTTTACTCGTCTCCTGAGCTCACCTGCTCACCCGCTCACCCGCTCACCCGCTCACCCCTTGACGTCTCTCTCACCCCTTTCTCCATGTCTCCCTTCCTGTGTTTGTCGCCTGTTATTATCACTCCCGTTATCATGATCAGTGGCGTACTGAAGGTGGATTTCACTTGCTCCACTGCGACTGCCGACAACTCCACTGCTGCTGCTGGCAACACCACTGCATCTGCAGAGAACAGTGACAGCCAATCGCTGGGTGCCACGTCAGCAGCAACATCCGATAGCAGCAGCAGCAGCAGCAGCAGTGCGTGCACGGCGTCGTCTCTCTCCGGATACGACTGCATGATGCAGCTCAGTGGGGATAGGTGAGTGCCCCGGGCGCATGACCAAGGGCACATGGGGGGCACATGGGGCATGGGGCATGGGGCATGGGGCATGGGGCATGGGGCATGGGACAGCATGGAGCAGTGCAGGCACGGCCATTTCTCTCCCTGGATATGACTGCGATGAGATGGCTACCCGTGGGCTGGTCTGGGACAGGTCGCATGTACCTCCCATGTCGCATCTCCGGTGCTGCTATCAGAAGCCTCCCCTGCTAGTGCCTCCCCTATCTCACTCTCCTTTCCCATTCCCCTCCTACTCCACCCCCATGCTCCCCCCACCCAGCTTCATTCTCCACTGGAAGGTCAGCAGCACTGCCACCACCATTTCTCTGGCAGCAGAGGCAGCCACAAGCGGGTGGGTGTCCGTCGGCTGGTCCGCCACCGGCCGCATGTACCCCGCCGATGCTGCCATCGGGAATCTCCCCTCAGGCACCCTCTCCAACGGGGCAGCAGTGGGGGCGTACTACATGAGCGGTTACGGGGTTAGCGACGTCACACAGACGGGGTCGTTTGCGGTTAGCAATGCGGTTGTGGAGGCCACTGGGAACGGGCGCACGACAATCAAGTTCGAGCGGTCGATGACAGATGGGGAGTTCCCCATGGGCGGTACCAGCACGGTCCTCTGGGCCTACTCCCGCGACAACTCGCAGCAGCTAGCCGACCACGGCCCCAACGCGTGAGTATCCAGACAGACAGACACAAGCCTCTGCAAGCAGTTGTCCCGCCAAAGGCACGCTCAACCTCATCGCGCGAGTCTCCAGCCGTCCTCCCAGCTTCACACATCTCCTCCTCCCCTCTCCTCCTCTCAATTCTTTCACTCCAGCCGTTCCCTATTCTCTCTCCCCCCCTCCCCTCTCACAGCCGTCACTCTAGCCATTCGCCTTCACGGCTTCATGTGCTTTCCCCCTTCTCTCCCCCCCAATCCCGGCCCTCTCTCCCCCTTATCTCCGTTATCAGCGGCTCTGCTACAATCAACTTCGTCACGGGAGCATCAGAGGTGGGCGAGTCGAGCAGCGGGGGCGCCACGCTCTACAGCATCCACGCTTGGATGCTCACTGTGGCCTTTGGCGTCCTCATGCCCGCTGCCATCCTCATCTCGAGGCTCTTCCTAGCGGACAAGCCCATGCCCTCGCCTCCACCTGCTGCCACTGGGAATGCCACAGCTGGCACAGCAGCCACAGCAGCAGCAGGGGGGGTGGCACAGCCCATGTTGGGTGCCAAGGAGCAAGCAGCAGCAGGGGGGGAAGCAGGAGAAGACGCACCAGCTCTCGTTTCCCTCACCCTCGGGGGACCAGCAGCAACAGCAAATCCAGAGGCAGCAGGAGTAGGCGGTGCAGCAGCAGCAGCAGGGGGGGCAGCAGCAGTCCCCAGGAAGCCATGGCTGAGCAAGCCCGTGGCGTTTGAGGCGCACAAGTGGCTCATGCTGTCGGCTGTCCTCCTCGCTCTCGCTGGAATCATCATGGCCTTTGTGGAGAAGGGGGCGCAGTCATTGCACTCCACGCACGGACAGCTCGGATTGGCCGTCATGGTGCTCATCGTGGCGCAGCCAATCGTGGGCCAGCTCAGGCCGCTCAAGAAGCATCCCAGCCGTCCATCCTGGTTCGCCCTGCACTGGGTGATTGGGGTCGGCACGGTGGCGATTGCTTGGGCCAACACGTACCTGGGGTTCGATCTTGCCACCTCCAAGTTTGGATACGACCTCGATGTGAGTTTCCAATGCCTTTTTAAAAGTCAACCATGAACCCTGAGACTATTTGGGAATCCTCTATTTGACCCTGCGACCGACAACCCCTGCCGTTCAATTCCTAGCATTGTTGCATTGCTACGTATTTTCTGTTTCAATCGCCACGTTGCCAGTGGCTCATGCCTGCCCTCTCCTCCCTCTCCTGTCTCATTGCTTTCTTCCCCTCCCTGGCAGTGGTCCTACATTGCCTTCTCTGTTATGATTGGACTATTCAGCGTGGTGTACGTCTTTGATTTCATGCTGGACCAAGTTGGTTTCTGCTGCCTGCGTTTTGAGGAAACCATGCCAGAGATCCCAGCCAAGACAATGGAGATAGTGTAGCTGTTGATATTGAGGTGTGTGTTATTGTGTATCAGGATAGTCAATTCTCTTTCTGAGAGGTACCTAGTTGTAGTGGTTTGTATGGGTTCAAAACTGTTGGGCTGAGAAAAGCCCTTAGGATCTTTTGCAGAGACTAAGTCCCAGCTGTAGAGACTTGAGACTTGGAGTAGTGCAGCGGAAGTTGAGGCAGTTGAACCCTTGTACTAGTATGTGAGAACAAGTGATTGATTAAAGAAACAAGCATACAGCAATATATAGAAGATAAGAAAGCAGTTGTAGAATACAGTTACAGGAACGGTTTATCGAGTCGCACAGCGACTCGATTGCCGCTTCGGTTACCATCCGTGATGTTGTAACGGTCAGTCGCAACCTCCAGTTGCGACCTTTCGAGTCCTTTCGCATTCTTTGTCCGCCCCCTCGTGTAACCTCCGTTGACTCGCGTGCTCCCCTGTAATCTTCCTCGAGTACAGTGTTACACTTCAGAAACGCTTAAGTCCTTGGGATATTTCCAACACTCCCCTTCGTTTCTGGAGTGCTGGAGTGTTCAGATCCGGTGACGTTTGTTTGCCCGGTTAGGAGCATGCAGTAGTCGAATTTTGCTTTCGCCAATTTCTTCGTCAGATAATCTGCGGCCATTTCTGTCGTCGGGCAGTAACTGAGTTGAAGTCTCCCCTTCGCGATTTCATCCTTGACGAAGAAGTACCGCAGGGCGATGTGCTTGGTTCGGTTGGCGAAGCCGTCCTTGTTCGCGATTTTGATCGCAGATTGGTTGTCGCAGAGGAGTGAGAAGGCGGGCAGGGTCGCGATCTTCGCTTCTTCGAGTAACTCTCGTAGGTAGAGTCCTTCCTTGGTCGCAGTACAAAGGGCGATATACTCTGCTTCAGCCGAGGATAGTGCGATTAACTCCTGCTTGCTCGACTGCCAGGAGATAGTTCCGATAGGTTCTAGTCGGTAGATGTAGCCCGTCCTAGACCGTCGATTTTCGCTGTCTCCCGCGTGGTCGGCGTCGACGTATCCGAGTAGTTGTACGGACGGTGTTGTTGCCTTGCTGTAGGTGAGCCCGATCGTCGGCGTGGAGACGAAGTAGAGTAGCGCTCGATTGAGTTCTTCGAGATCTTCCTGTTGCGGCTGCTTCAGATGTGTCGCCAGCTGACTCGCACTATAGGATAGGTCGGGTCGGCAGGTTACTGCTGCGAATAGTAGGCAGCCGAGCTTCTGTTGATACTCCTGGATTTGTTTCGCGGGGAGTTTTGTGGAGGCGCTACTGTTGTTCCCATAGCGGTAGGGAGTTGGGACCGCAGTCGGTGCTAGACCGAATTTCTTCGCGACGGTGCTTGAGTACTTTCCAGCGTGTAGGTAGAACGCCGTGTCGTCTTCGACGATGTTCAGTCCTAGGTACTGGGTAACTTCGTCGGACACCGTGAGAGTTAAATCTTCTTTCAGCTCCCCTTCGAACCAGGTGGCGATGTCGATAGTGGAGCCGATGTAGAGCAGGTCGTCGACGTAGACGATGAGCAGAACATAATCTCTTCCCTTCTGTAGTCGGTACATCCCTTGGTCATGCGGTAATTGTAGGAAGCCGATCTTTGCGAGACGGCCGTGGAGATGCTGCTGCCAGAGCCGCGGGGCTTGCTTAATCCCGTATAGGGATTTTGTCAGTCGGCATATTTTCGTGGGATCGTTGATGAATCCGTGGGGTTGTTCGACGAAGATCTCAGCGTCCACAGGTGCGTATAGGAATGCATTCGCGACATCGATTTGGCGTAGTGGCAGTTTTTTCGTGGCCGCGACGGCGAGTAGGATGCGTAATGAGGTGTGACGGGAGACTGGAGCGAAGGTTTCTGTGTAGTCGGCTCCGTATCGTTGGTCGAAGCCTCGTACGACCCATCGAGCTTTGAATCATTCGATGGAACCGTCTGAGTTGGTCTTGATGCGGTACACCCATTTCCCCGAGAGAACGTTTTTTCCGTTGATGCTCGTTGCAGGTACCAGTTTCCATGTTTCTCGGTCTTGCAGAGCTTTTAACTCCTTTTCCATTGCTTCCTTCCATCTTGCCTTATGTTCCCCCCCCAGAGCCTGCGACAACGTTGAAGGCTCTCGCGGAGAAGGCGGCGGCGGATTCTGGACGGAGACCCAGAGGCCTAGAATCTGGAGTCCCGTGGGCGTGTGTCGAGGGGAATTTTCATTCCCGGAATAAGCTGCTTCGTCACCGTCTTCAGGGTCAGGTAAGAAATTGGGGCCGATGCGTTCCGAAATATTCGTGTCGACGGGGTGAGGTGTAGCGTAACCTTGGTCGGCGAAGTGGTAAAAGGTGTCGAGGTTGTTGCTATCGAGGGGATTATCTTCATCGAGTGGAACAGGTACGGAACAGAATGGGAGTGGTCCGGCAGCTTCCGAGGCTCCAGGTACGTCTTCTTCTGCTGCGTCAGCCTCGGCAGTATGGTCAGCGAAGGAGCGAAGGCCCGCGAAGCCGTCGGTGGGGTCTTGTGTGTTGGCAAGGTTGTCCAGGTAATGCTGCAGCGTCAGTCGTTCGTAGAAGATAACATCGCGTGATGCCACCGTGTTTTTGTCTTGTATGTCGAGAATTTTCCACGCGTGAAAATGTTTTGCGATGCCGAGGTGTAGTCCCCATCGAGCTCTTTGTGAGAAGCGTCCTGCTCGGGCTGTGTGGGGTCTGTACTGTACCATGCAGCCGAAAACGCGGAGTAATTTTGTGCTGCCCCTTTTTCTTGTCCACAACAGGTGCGGCGATGCGTTGTTGGGAAGTGATGACGAGGACAGCAGGTTGTGCAGGTGAACAGCATGTGTCATCGCGTCTGGCCACAGTGCGTTGGGCAGCCTCATCCCCAGAAGTAGTTTTCGCATCGTCGTCTGCAAGGTCCGGTTCATGCGTTCTGCTACCCCCTGCTGCTGGTGAGCATAGGGCAGAGACACCAGGCGTCGGATTCCCCTTTCCGCGAGATAGGTCCTGAAGCGTTGTGACTGGTATTCCAGTGCACCGTCTGACTGGAAACTCTTGAGTTTGGTTCCTGACTCTCGTTCGGCGATTGGAAGCCATGTGGTGAAGGCCTCGAAGGCTTGATCGCGCGTTTTGAGATTGAAGTGCCAGACGTATCTGGTTGCGGCGTCGATGAACGTGATGACGTAGTTGAAGTCGGCTTCGGTGTCGTCTCGAGGCATGTTTAGAATATCGCTGTAGACCTTTTCCATCGGAGCGTAAGTGGGTGCGCTTGGATTGTGATGGGCTGGGAAAGGTTGATGAGGAAGATCTGCTTCGGGGCATGTGAAACACCGTGCGCGTGGTCGTCGGAGTTCCTGGCCGTTCGTCGTCAGAAGGGCGTTGCGTTCTAACACCTCTGCTTGGATTGTTTGAAGTATCGTGCTGTTTGCAGGATGTCCGAGACGTTGGTGCCAGATGTCGTCGGGAGCGCGGTGGCCGGGCGAGCGGTGGTAGATGTCGGCGTTGGAGAAGAACGCGACGACCGAGGCGGGACTTCGACAGGCTTCTCGTGTGACGGGCATAAGTTGGTCTGCTTCCGTTGGCGGTCCTCGTGTCGCTGGTGGTGGTACTCGGCTGGGTCCTGCTGCCGATACTGCAGGTGATGGTTTTGTTGGGACGCTTGCGGGTACTTGTCTTTCTTGTTTGATGACTGCTAATGCTCGTGTTCTCTCTGCTGCAGGTATGGTGTTGGAGTGCCAGAAGCCGTCACTGTCGAAGTCGGGATCAAGATCCGGCGGGTGAGTCCAGGCGGCGAACGATACGATGCCATCGCTGTCGGCAGTTCCGCGGTCGGGGACGAAGTCCAACACGAAGACACCGGACTTCAGGAGGGCACGACCGATGAAGAGGCCGCCCTTCCCGTGGTAAAGCCGGAACTCGTTGGAGTAAGAGTCGCACTCCAGGTGAATCCCTTTGGCCATTAGTTGGCTTACGCTTAGTAGATTGTATCCCAGGTTGTCGACAATGAGCACTTTGTTGAGCTGCAGTATTACGTTTGTTTCCATGGATTGTAACTGAACCACGCCTTGTCTGTTTGTCTTCAGGTTTTCGTTGTTGGCGACTGTGATGACGACGTCGCGGTTGAGTCGTTTCTCCTGTTGCACGAAGCGTCCCGAGGAGCACATGTGTTGACCGCAGCAACTGTCCAAGAACCAGGTGTTCCGCCCGGTGGGTTCGGCGTTAGCGACTGCAGCGTATGTCGGGTTGACCTGAAGTCCTTGCGAGCGCGGCGGCGGGAATTCCTCTTCGTCTGGTGCGTAAGTGGGTGGTGAAGCGGGTGCGCAGTTGTCGATGTGTACCATGCAGTTGATGATGTTGGGTGTTTGTTGTGCAGATGTTGAAGAGCGCCTTGGAGGACTTGCTTGAGTGGAAGCGACTTGTGGGTCTGCTGCACGGTAAACGCGAGGGCGGTTGCAGTTGACCTTGGAGTGCCCGGAAGTCTGACAGTTGTGGCAGAACGGCGGCACGATGGTGAGTCCTCGGTTGTCGCGTTGATCTTGCTTGCTGCGTCGGTTGTAGTTGTTGTCATTTCTTCTTTGAGTGTAGAAGACTAACTGCTGTTGCTTCCTTGGTTGTCTTTCCTCGAACAGATCCATCTCCTGTTGTTCAGCGTGAAGCTCGGCGCAGAGGTGCATCTCCGAAATTCTTCCGTGGGCTCGAAGAAGTGATCGTGTGGTTCTCCATTCTGGCCCGAGCCCGGCGAGGACAAGTGTCACGAAGCTTTCTTCAGTGATCGTTCCTCCGCACCGAAGCAGGCGGTCGCGGAGGGTCTGGCAGCGACTCATATACTGCATCGCCTTTTCCCCGGTCTTCATCTGTATTGTTGTTAGCTGTTGCATGAGTCTGCTTTGTGTCACGCTGTCGTTTGCTTGGTAAAGGCATTTGAGGTGGTGCCATGCGAGCTCCGCGGAGTTTCCATAACTCCGATACGTTCTGATGCTCTGCTGCTCTTGTGGTGACAGGTTTCTCAGGAGTACCGTGTACGCCAGCAGCGACTGATACGTGAAGATCTCTTGTTCCTTCCCAGTGCCGTTGCTTGGGAATGGCAGGGACCCGTTGAAGTATCCCAGAAGATGCGCGGCCTCCATCAGCAGCTCAAACTCGAAGCTCCAGGTAAAGAAGTCGTGTCCGTTGAACGGTGAGGATGTCTGAAGTTTGATCACGTGTGAGAACTGCGCCTGTAAACTTAAGATTTCATTCGGTGTTTGTTGTGAAGCAGCTGCTGTTGGCTGGGCACGGGGCGGCATGAATTCGAACGTCCCCGGCGAAGAATGATAAGGCGCAAAGGTAGGCGCTTGGTTGTGTCGCCCGAAGGATGAGTTGTCGAGGCTCATCGGCGCTAATCCCATATTCCCTCCATTGCTCTGTGTTGAGTGCGCAGGTGTCCTTGTCTGCTGCTGCTGGTCGAAGTGTGACATGAAGCTGAAGAATCTCTCCATGAGATTCGGGTCCACACTTGAAGAGGGAGACGGAGTCACCATCTCTGGTACTCTTCCCGTTGTTTCTTGAGTAGTCCCGGTCTCTGTCTGCAGTCCTGAGGTGTGCAGACCAGAGTTGCCGTGTTGAGTTTCTTGGGCGCTGGGTGAGCCCGTAGAGACTTTCTTGCCCTTGTTGTCCATGTCTTGTAATCAATGGAGTTGTTGAATCAAGTTGAGTTGCTGGTTGTTGATGGAGTGTAGTTGCTGGGAGTTTTGATCTCTGACCAGCTCTCATACCATGTTGGGCTGAGAAAAGCCCTTAGGATCTTTTGCAGAGACTAAGTCCCAGCTGTAGAGACTTGAGACTTGGAGTAGTGCAGCGGAAGTTGAGGCAGTTGAACCCTTGTACTAGTATGTGAGAACAAGTGATTGATTAAAGAAACAAGCATACAGCAATATATAGAAGATAAGAAAGCAGTTGTAGAATACAGTTACAGGAACGGTTTATCGAGTCGCACAGCGACTCGATTGCCGCTTCGGTTACCATCCGTGATGTTGTAACGGTCAGTCGCAACCTCCAGTTGCGACCTTTCGAGTCCTTTCGCATTCTTTGTCCGCCCCCTCGTGTAACCTCCGTTGACTCGCGTGCTCCCCTGTAATCTTCCTCGAGTACAGTGTTACACTTCAGAAACGCTTAAGTCCTTGGGATATTTCCAACAAAAACCACAAGGCATGCATCCTATCCTATTGTGTGTGAATATGTGCATGGTTTGTAATGGAAGGAATTATTGTACGTATGTAGCCCACATTCCAAGTTTTATCAGTAAATGTTGGTTGGGAAGCTTTCTAGTGGTGAGAAAGGTTTTTTTAATGTGGTGGTGAGGCAAAATGATATGTGCTTGCTTCAAAGGGAATGTTGAAATGTGTTTGAATTTTGATTAGGGCAATATTTTTGTTGTAGTTTTTGAGAAGTTGACGAGTCAGCTTCGTTTCACCTTAAGTCTCATTAGGAGGATGGGAAGTGTATGGTGAACACCATGTCATGTGATCACGGCAGATTCTGTCGACACGTCAGCTTTGCAGGACCTCCGGAAACAGTTTCTGTTTTGTCAAGCGTCGCTGTCGTTTTTCTCCCGTTCCGAACCGCGAAGTCTTCGTGAATCACCCGATCTGTCGCATCCATTCCATCCAAAACACCAGCTCAGCCAATCGTAATGCAGCATCAACAACCCCCCTCTTCTGCCCTCCCCCCACCACACCCCATCCAACCACCACGCCCATACACGTGCAACACAAATCCCCCCCAACTAATGTCCTTGTTGCCGTGCACTCCTGCCACCGGACGCGCAATTGCGCGCTGGCGGAAACACTCGGCAATGGCAAGGAGATGTTTGGCTTGGCAGAGACAGCTGGGGGGTGCTGGCGCGAACTGAAGCAGAATTCTCCCCACCTCCCGTCTTGGGATTGCTTCTCCCGCTCCCCCTCGTCTCATCCTCCGCTCTTCCCCCCCGTCTTTCGTTTACAGAACCCGCCTAACCAGCCCCTCATCTCCCCGCTCTCCCGCCATTTGCTGGGTGTTGTGCGCTCCTCAGAGTTGCCTCCCCCCGGAAACCAACGGCTCACGCGCAACGGTCTCCGCCCCCTCACCATCAGTTTCTTCAGTTCTCCCGTCTTAGTCAGCAGAACCAAGCTCTTTACGATAATTCTGCTGTGTCGTGTTTCTCGCTTCGTCTCACTAACTTTACTTAGTATCGCATAGCTCGCTTGGGTCTCCAGTCTGCTTCCATAAACCGTGTGGCGGTCGCACAGCCAGCAAGCGTCAGGCGAGTTTTGCGCCGCTGATTAAAATTAGAAGGTCCTTCAAGCAGGTTTGTCACTATGGCGCGTCGCAACACGGGCCAGCCAGTCGTCGAGGATGACGAAGACGACTGGGGCTCCAACGCCAAGTGGGTCCCTCCCTCGCAGCGCGCCGCAACCGGCGGCGGCGGCGGTGAGCAGACGCTGAAGGACCTCGAAGACGAGGCGCTGCAGAAGAACAGCGAGTTAACGGACGCGACGCTTAATCTCCGGCGAATCACGGAGCAGACCAAGGGCGTGGCGGGACAGACGCTGGTGACGCTCAAGGAGCAAGGCGACCAGATCCAACGCATACACGAGAACGCGGTCACGCTGGACCAGGAGATGGAGAAGGTAGGTTGACAGCGGAGCGCGCTCTTGATTGACTTGTTAGGTGAATTAAGCGAGCGCTGAGGTGAAGTCATTAGTCAACGCGGTCACGCTAGACCAGTAGATGGTGAAGGTGGGATGATAGCTGAAAAACGCGTCTGAAACGACTTGAATTGAAAGCCACACACGAGCACGCGGTCACTCTCGACCAGGAGATGGAGAAAACGCGTACGATGGCAGCGACTCGCTCGCTTGATCGACTTTTAGTTCAACGCGGTCACGCTAGGAAAAGAAATGGAGCTGTGCTCGGAGACTACCTTTGAGGCGCCTCAAAAGTCGCCTCAAAAGTAGTTTTTTGAGGCGCCTCAAGAGAAGGTGATGATTGCTGTGCCGGGAGAGGTTGCATGCACGCGACGCGACCCGTGCCTGTATGTCAACGCACGCCTGTGATAATGATTTAGGTTTTGAGCAAGCATCCCCGCCCCACTCCGCTCCTTCCGTCTCTCCCCCGCGCCAGTCCGAGAAGCTTCTGAGCAAGCTCGGCGGGATGTTCTCGTTCGGATGGAAGCCGAAGAAGGGCCACAAGATCAAAGGCCCCAAGAGCTCAGGTGCGCAGATTAAAGACCTAAGAGCTCAGGTACGCAGATTAAAGTCCTAAGAGCTCAGGTACGCAGATTAAAGACCTAAGAGCTCAGGTACGGAGATTAAAGACCTAAGAGTTCAGGTACGGAAATAAGAAAGCACGGGGATTGAGGGCCAAAGTTCGAAGGTATGGCAGTTACGAACCTAGGCCCAATATCATCCCCCTTTCCGTCCACCCTGCTCCCCTCTCTTGCAGCCAAACGTACGGACTCAGCTCACAGGGAGTCGCAGGGGCGCCTGATGGCGGGTGTGCCATCCCCCATTCAATCCCCCCTTCCCCAGCTCTCCCCTCCCTTCCCCCCCTCCCCTCCCCCCACACCCCCCCTCCCCCCCCTGACTTCCTGCAGCCAACAGTTCGGACTCGGCATCGGGGGATGCAGGGAGTCGCGAGGCCTTGGGGTTGAAAGCGCCTAAGGCGGGGGCGGCGGCTCCTAAAGGCTCGGAGGGCATGACAGCCATGGAGAAGATCGAGGTGGGGGGAGGGAGTATGGCGCTGCTATTATAACGGGGGTGATG